GCATGAGGTACTTTGGTAGCATGGCGGGGGCCGCAGGAGGTGGGTGCGTAAATGTCGTGATGTCGTTTTTCTGTCTGYGATTGCTCTCTGCTGGTCGGAGCCAATCGAAGCGTCGGACTCTGTTTCTGAGAACTACTTTGTAACGACCAAGAGGTGAAACACGTGGCTTCAGGTGTGTTTTTGTACAGATGTGACTTTCTTTGTGTTTTTTTTTTCTTTTTTTGTTCTTCATCAGTGAAAGTTTACAGTTTGTTTTTTCGTTCTTCGCTCCTGGCGTAAACTCGTGTCAATGTTGAGCTTTTTGTTTTGTAGATACACTGTGGATTCAATGTGCCTTTTTTCTGAATTCCTCTCATTCAGACCACTTCTATTAAAGGTACAACTCAAGGACGCTGCTGTCCTCAATCCCTGTGTGTGTGTGTGTGTGTGTACATATTTGTAAATGCTTGTCAGTAACCTTTACAACATAAAAAATTGTACATTTTCAAGCTTTTCTTTCGAATTTTATTTTATTTTTTTGGATTGGACGTTTAAAAAAACTGCATTAAAGTTATTGTACGTTATAAATGTATGAATGTAAAATAAAGGTACTAGATTTCTATGTATTAAATCCATAGTTTGTTGTGTTTGTGAAGAGTGAGCACCAATAAATGTTTTGAAGTGTAAAAGAAAAGAAATTTGCAAACAGATTGCTGCAATAAAAATGATTTTTTTTGCACCAGTTTAAATTTATAAATTGCTCCGTGTGTGTCGCTGCTGTGATTTGATTCTAAACAGCAAAAAGATTTATAAAAATAAAATAAAAAAAAGGAGACAACATTTTGAACAGAGCTGTAATTTAAGGGTTTTAAAGATAATCCAACGTCGACCACACAGAAATCCCAGCCCTTCATTATGTTTGCTCAAACTGTGTGTTAGATACTGGTCGGTGATTTAACTGGAGAAAAAAAAACTAACAAAAAAAAAAAAGGCAATAAATCTCCTGGAAATGAGTCCAGCGCTCAGTTCTGCTCTGATGGTGTGAACTTGTCAAGTGTTGGATGTGTTCACATGAGAAACAGCTGCTGCTTTTCCTGGGTCTTGGAAAGTTGGCCCGGTTCTAAACTGATGGTCAGTTTGAGTCGAAACTGTGACCATTTTTTATTTCTTACATTAAAAAGTGAAAAAGTTCCAGTTTTGATAAGAAAAGTTTATCTTCTCTGACAGGGTTTCAGAAAAAAAAAAAAGTGAAAACAGACAAAAACACCTACATTTCTGTGAGTAAACTTTCTAAATGTGGGGAAACTTTTTGAAAGCAAGGAAAATTACAAACATTTCAGGAAGCTGCTGCGTCAGCATTTTGTGGTTCTGATCATTAAATTGAATCAGTAAATGTTTAAAACTGTTAAATATATTTAAACACCAGCTCCCCCCACATAAAGTTTAACTTGTTTCAACTTTTCTGAAACTAATTTTCTCACTTGTCCTGATGCATCTCAGTAATCCAGGTAAAAAATCAAAAAGAAAAAAACTGTATAGGTCTTCTGGACGGGTTCTTCTC